ACCTCATGATTTTCGCAGTCACTCCAGAAAGCAATGGGAACCCAACTCGATATGAGTACTGCCTACCATCCCCAGACCGATGGTCAAAGTGAGCAAACCATTCAAACACTAGAAGATATGCTCCTTGCTTGTGTGATTGATTTTGACAAGGCGTGAGATACTCACTTGCCCCTAATTGAATTTTTGTACAACAACAACTACCACATGAGCATAAATTTCGCTCCATTTGAGGCCTTGTACGGCCGAAAATGTAGATCACCTTTTTGCTGGGCTGAGGTGGGAAACACTCAGCTGGAAAGAGGGAAAATGCCAAACAACGCACTCACAGAACCCAAGATCATTCGGGAAACAACAGAGAAAATCTTTCAAATCATGGCACGACTCCAACCATCGCGAGACTGACAAAAGAGCTATGCTGATAAAAGGCGAAATCCTATGGAGTTTCAAGTAGGAGATTGTGTGTTATTAAAAGTTTCTCCCTGGAAAAGGATGATTTGACTTGGAAAAAGGGGAAAGCTGAACCCACGATACATCGGACCATTCGAGATTCTTGCCTGGATCGGTCCAGTGGCCTACATGCTACATCTACCCTCAGAACTTAACAACGTACACCCCCGTATTCCACGTGTCAAACCTGAAAAAGTGCCTATCAGATGAAACCCTCGTTGTTCCTCTGGATGAGATCAAGGGGAACGAGAATCTCCTGTTCATCGAAGAACTAATTGAAATAATGAACAGGGAAGTGAAACGTACAAAACAAAGTTGCATTCCAATTGTAAAGGTTCGATGGGGTGCTAAACACATACTTGAATTTACATGGAAACGCGAGGATCAAATGAAGCAAAAGTACCCTCACTTATGCTCTAGTTCCTAAGAATAGCCATCAAAAGAATTTCGGGATGAAATTCCCTCTAACAGGGGGATGATGTCACAATTGGCATTTTAGGGCTAGAATTTTCTATTCATGTACAAGATGGTTCCTTGTGTAATTCTATTACATTATGTTAAACGTGAACCAAACTTCAATACTAGATCGGTTATACATCTAAAAATTTGTTTCAAGTCGAAACTTCCTCGTGAAAGCTCTAAACCTAATTCACTATGATTCATTCACTCAACTTTAGGTTTTAACCATAACATCTTGGTTCAAACCTCTCAATGGACTAGGACTTTGTTATTGGGCCTAATAGGCCGGTAACCCCTCAATTTGGTTCTTTTGGGCCAAGAATCCACATTTGGGCCCTAGTTGGACCTAGATTTATTAAGTAATAGTATTTTGGGCCATAAGATCCTTCGTGGGCCGTATTCGGCCGATAACCTCTCAATTTGTTTCTATGGGCCAAAAACCTATTTATTTAACCTCATTGGGCAAAATTCTTAAATGGGCCAACCTTTAGGCCGAGAACCCTCAAATGGGCCTTAATGGGTCGAAAACTCATTCCTTTACCGTTTTGGACTGAGAACACGTATTGGGCCTCCTTGGGCTAGAAAATCCTTGAAGGGCTATTGTGTTCTCGGTTACATTCCAACCTTAAGCCCAAAAATATTAATTCTTTCCTCCCTCTCTTATTCTCGACCATATATATATATATATATATATATATATATATATATATATATATATATATATATATATATATATAATGGGGTATTGTCTATATTGTGACACCTCACTAATGCATGGTGGTAAGCCATGCAAATTACCCACCATACTTCTAGGTTAATGTGCTAGACAACCATATAATGACCATATTTAATCTCTCCCTTCTCCCTTCTAAATCCGGCCGAGACCCCCATCTCCCTCATCCTTCACTTCAAATTCATTCAAACTCTCTCATATATCCCTCTCAAGCTAAAGGAAATTCTCTCATTCCCCATGCAATTTTCGTGAGTTTGGTGTGTATTTTTCAAGAGGTTTTCATCAAGTTTCATCCTCTTGGTAGGTTGTTATCATACACAAAGTATTACTCTCCATTTTATGCTAAGATTATCCCTCATAAGCATTTTATTTTCGTGTTCATGCGCCTAGAACTTTCTAAGTTTGAAAGATCTTCCCTAAGGAGCATTCAAGGCCGAAAAATTCCTTTTTCTTCCTCTACAAAAACAATCTAGCACCAAGGTGAACTTTATACCCCATTGTTTTCGAGTTTTACTATCTTTTGGGGGAGAATACAAGCTAGTTTGGGTTAATCTTAGTATTTATGCATGCATATGTATATGTTTTCTTGAATGTTGGGTGATATGTTATGAAACCATGTCAAATACTCTTAAACTCGAAATATCTTCCAAGTTTTTGGAGATTTTATTAAACAAGTTACTTAATGTAACTTTCTATGATGTTGGAAAAGACCAAAACATGTTAAAAGTTACTACAAAACTAAAGAAAGTGTACAGAGGCTCTATTTGACAAATAAGGATAAAAATGGGCTTTTATGGGATGCTCACTGTTTTATAGGCCAAAAGTGTCATTTTTCATAAAAATGGACTTCTATTGAAATTCACGGTTTTATCGGCCAAAACTGTCATTTTTCATAAAAATGGGTCTTATTTGACAACTCACAGTTTATTGGGCTAAAATTTTATTTTTAACATAAATGGGCCATTATTGTCATTTTCGGCTATATTGGGCCAAAAATGTCATTTTTAACATAAATGAGCCATTATTGTCATATTTGGCTATATTAGGCCAAAAATGTCATATTTAACATAATTGGGCCTTTATTGTCATTATCGGTTTTATTGGGTCAACAGAGTCATTCTTGATAAAAGTGGGCCTTTTATGTCATTTCTGGAAATTTTGGTCTAAAACAGTTATTTTGATGCAAATGGACCGTTTACGATAATTCCTTATTTAAATTGGGCTTTGTGTGCCAATTTCATTTAAATTGGGCCTTTTGTGACAAACCTTATGTTAATCGGGTCGTTAGTGAAAATTCTAATACACTCGAAATTTTCATGATACTTTAGGATAACCATAAGTTTTCCACGATAACATCAAATATTTTGACATTTTTGATAAAAAACAATTATATTTTTATCGCCAATGGTTGTAGTCAAAATACACACTCGAAACATTATTTATAGCGTTAAATAATTTGATACTCTATTCGTGTAAATTTAGTTAAGGCTCTTGTGAGACACTCTTTCACTCGTACCTATCTAGTGTACATAGTAAATCCTATAGTTATAACCAGAGTCTCCTGGAAGGACAACGAGAATTTGTGTATAGATCTATACGGAGATGACACTCCACACCTAAGCTGCTCGCTACAACTAGACATACCAGTCTACGATGACACATGTCTTACCGTAACCGACACCTGAAGAACATCATGACAGACATATCAGTCATATCAAGTATGGTTATAACGACTCACATAGAGAATAACAAACAAATAAATTTACGGAATGCACATACTATACTCATGATACAAAATACGAACTATACAGATACTATTCACGTTTAAACTTTCACCTCTCAGGTCTTAGGGTTAAGACCACATTTTTTCATTATACAAAAAATATAGGATTTTCTGGGAAACTCTCTTTATACACTATAAAAAAAAATCACAAATGCTCTAATACAAGATTTGAAACAAAACTCTCAAATTACTTTTACAGAAAATATCGGATTTTCTGGTGTTTACAAATTGATACAAAACTTTTCATACAAACATGCTTATGAACTTATCAACATTATATATGTTGACATTTTTCAAAATAATTTGTATTCTCAGGGACTTGTTAAACAGGTTGGTCGCCAAGGAAATGTGGATGTTTGTCGTATTTTTGCTTTCATCATACATTTGACATTTTGTGATGTATTTTGCAATTTGTACACTAATGAAATGATGTAAAACTATGATGGTTGTTATATTTCATGTATGGTGATGATGTTGTCTACAATTCAATTATATACATTGTGATGATATTACAATATGAAATCACCCGTCCACGGACGTTTCTGACGTCTGGTTCGGGGGTAACAGACAATTTGCTAACAAATAGAATTTCGAAGAACTGATTAGGAAAATAAAACAACAAAACTGGATCATTAGATCTAAACAACCATCAAATGGATCTATAAGGATCTGGTATAGATAAACCAAGGTACACCAATTATAACTCATATCTGATTTGATTTGAGAAACACGATATCTTGATAGAAACCTCACCAAAAGAACAAATCATATGCGTAAAGAAATTCTTACAACTCTGGTAAGAATCTGATCAGATCGACGATTAATCAAATATGATACCGACTAATCCACAAGAATCAGATACAAAATCAATAAAGGAGTTCATGTGTGGCTCTGATACCAACTAAAGTATAACAAAATGTTATTTCCTTCAATAGATCTTCAAGAGATTCGGAAACAAAAGATTCATAGAGCTAGATCTTAATATTTCCACACTAACCCTTAACAAGAAACCAACTGATCTAGATTATCATAGATCTATGGAATCTTAATCTGTAAGAGAGAGAGAGAAAGATTTTCTTTTTTAATTGTTGTAAAGAAAATAAAAAAAAACCTAAATTTAAATGACAAATTAATCATTTAAATGTTTTCAAGTAACTTTTGATTAAATTTACAAAACCACTGAAGCAACTTCAAAACTTTTTAAACTAAACATCCGATTTTTGACAGGTATCAATCTTGCAAATTTATAGATATTAATATTTATGTTTTACAGCAAATGGAAAGAAATTGAAATACTATTTCTTTTTTCACCCAAAAACGATATTTGCTCACACGAAACGGTTTTTGCATCTCAAGAATAACGTGTGTTGCTTCAATGGCAAATCCAAAATCTCGCAATTTGCCTTCCTTGAGCTTTTTCACCAACATAACCGAACCCAGATTTCAGATTTCACACCTATGATTTCCAGTTTCCCGCCATTGACGACTTTAAAAATGGATTCTCTAGCAATATACTCTCGACTGATTTCTTTGTGTGGAAAACAATAAGCCCTTCTAGTGAAACAGAGTTAGGAAGCGATGGCGGAAGCTGAACCAGAGAAGCAACAACGACAACAACGAGTCGGAGGGGGATCATCAATTCTGAGGAAACCCTTTTCCGATCTCACTAACCTCATCCCTAAACCCCACCGGCATTCGATTTCTACTTCATCATCCCAAGCGAAGAAGCCCATAACGTCCACCGATCCCACCATGTCCCTTTCCAGAACCGGCTCCACCCAAATCCATAGTCTCGTGCAGCAGCAATTCACCGCTCCGAGGGACCAACATCCTCTTCCGACTCCTCGGACTCCGAGTCCTGTTACTCTCAATCTCCCCCACACACAAAAACGCCGGTGTATGTATTAATCGAAATGTTGTTCTTCTGCATCTGGATATTTTTATCGAACCCGCTTCATTGTTTGTTCATATACTTTGTATAGTGTTTTCTTCTCCTATTCCAATCTGAATTACCCACTCTGTTTCTGAATTACTTTTACCGTGCACAATTATCACCTGCATATCTGTATCTATATGTTGAAAGTTCAAATTATATTATTATAATGAATTACTTCCCCATTTCGGTTCCTGTGCTTGGAATTATATGATGATACCATGATCGGGGTTTTCCCAATGCTTAACTAGCTTAATTTCTCTGCTCCGAAACTAATGTTTAACGGGTGTTCAGCTCAATTTTCATCATTGCAGTTTACAATTAGTTATTATTTGTATACTGCATAGTCAATATCCCATGCGACTGTGTTTGCTTTCAACTGCTATATGTGATTACATAAAGGACGCTGTGAATCGTCATTGTTTCTTCAAAAGGTTCCATAGATTACTATGATATTTAGGTAATTTGTATTTCTATTGCATAGATGATTCGGTTGGTGATGGGAAGCATATATCTTATACCGGAAGCCAAACATTGATGAAAACTAGAAGCAAGACAAAGGCTGATGCTATACCTGTTTATCCGATTCATCTTGAAAGAACAATAAATAACATGAAGAGTATTCCTATGCCACCTAGATACCCACTAATGGAGAACACCATTAACATGGAGCCGCTATCTGGGGTGAAGTTTAACAACAAAAAGAAAGCAGTTATGGGTTCTAGTCTTACTGATCTTTCAAAGAAATATGAAGAAAAAATGGTAGCTACACCTATCAACAGGTGTTTCTCTCTGGCACATATACAAATGAAGTTCAATCAAAACTTATATTTTCTTTTCTAATTATAAACACCCCTCGAAAAATAAAAAACCCTTACCATATCACTGAAAGTATCTCTGTTTTTTGAATTTTGTGTAGGTATGAGGTTAATGGAGCAGAAGATTCATTAGAATCTAAGTCAACAAAAGTTCATTTTCCGAATAACAAGGTTTGTTTGTTTGACCTTTTTCTATAAGAGAGATGTATGTTGTTTATGGAATTGCATCGACTAGATTAATAACAACTAATTTAAACTATAAATTGCAATAAACCTCATGAATATAATGTCAATACAATGATCTTAATGGTCATTGTTCTGCAGAAAAGGAGGCACTCATCAAAGAAAAGTTGCAAAAAATTTGTATTGCCACAAGATTTTATTGACCAACAAAGAGCTTACTTTAAAGAGATTGATGAGTATGAATTACAAGTCGAAGAAGAAGCGGATGAAATATCCTCCTAAAGAATATTGTATATTGTCTTCTTGAACTTTATAGAAGTTTTAGGTGGATCAATTGTAGATCAAAGTGTATACAACAACATTTTTATAGTGATATAATATGCAATAGAAAGTACAAGTTTCGAGTGGTATATTTTTTGTGGGAGTTTCAAATTTCAATTCCAATGTGGATTGGATTTGTTGTTGGATTGGACTCTTATACAAGTCACTTAGTGGGCTATTGTGTATCTGTTTTATATTTTACATTATGTTTTATGGTAGGGTATAAGTGGGAAAAAAATAAAAAAAACCAAAGCCATATCTTTCTATGACATGTTTCTTCTTGAATAGTTTGTTGATATGTTTTCACTTTGATGTAGTGGGTTATACCTTTCTTTGGCTGGTGTCAAGTTGTCTACACCTTTTAATCGAGTGCGTAGAAGATAGAGATTGTCCAATGAAATGGTTTGTAGGGTAGTTTGGGCACTTTGGTGTTGTAGTGAATTCAAAAGTGATAAGGAATTAGATGTTGATTTTTTTTGGTTATGGGTAAGGTCATGTCGAAAGGTTGCCAAAGATGCGTCATTTATGGACATAGTTTTGAGTTTGGATTTTCCTAGGTTTCATTTTCATTCTAATTGATGATACACTTGCCCTCCAACAATGGAAATCTCCATATCCTTCATTTCATAATCTTTGGGGATGCCTTTTTGTCTTCATTATTTAGTTGGAGTGAGTAGAACTTTTGTGGATGTTATCAATCCCACATTGATGTGAAGTGGTTTTGGTCTTCTTTTATTTCAATTAGATAACGTGTATCGGGATAAATAGTCTTTAAAACTTATTTGAGGTAAAAAAATGTTCATTATTTAAATCAATATGTACTTATTATTTTATCATTACCAAATTATAAAAAATGTTCATTAGCAAGACCAAACGCAAGAAGCTAATAAACACAATTTAATTGAGCAATCTCTAATACCCATAAGGTAAGAAAATACACTCATATAGTTTTAAAAAATTAATTTTGAACCATTTTTAACATTATTACACTAGAATAACAACTTTTTAATAGTACAAAGATAGATTTGTAGGTAAGAAGTAGGACTAGGATAGGTGATTTCTAGTGAAGGTGGATTATTGGTAAGAAATTCTTCAAAAAAAAAAAAAAAGTAATATAAGGCATTAAATGTAAAATGGTGATGTGCCAAAATCATGTATGTGATTTGGAATCTATGCTACATGGGTATTCTTTTTTCGGACCATAAGTAGAGAGGGTCGGGTGTGGGGCACCCATGAGCCATGACCCAACAACATTTTTGAACTTTATTTGTGATCTTTCGTTGGTTGGGGGGCCATCATTACCTTCAAGCAAATTCATATTTACCCGTTCACATGGGAAGTACAAATAATTGTATTCGAATAAAAAGACCTATCAATAATATATTTATATTTTATACTCTTATAATCATTTTTTATATATCTATTTTTTCATATATAAAATTGTGTGAACCGAGTAATAAGGAGAAAAAGTGAAAAAAAGATGAATAGTTTTGGAGTAAGTGCAGCTTGGTATTGGATCATGAAGTGTATCCAGTCAAATGTTGTACTCCGAATTGATAACATAAGATGGTGAGTTGTACTATGCATAATGCATTAATCATTTAAATGATTCTTTTTTGAAATTGTTTTGTCCAATAACATAAAAGAAAATAACACCCTGGTTCATGGGTAATATGCTTTTGCTAGTTTACAAAATTAAAATAGACGATGTTGGATCATGTAGCATTTATATTTGGTTGTAGGCCTAAAAGGTTCTTGCCATGTCACATGGTCATTGTTGTGCATTTACTCAATAGTGGTCCTTTGACTGTGACACCTTCCTCCTAGGGTCTTGGCTTTTAGAATCTTGTAGTTTGGGTTTGGGTTTCTTAAAATACCATATTAAACATGTAAGAAAAATAATCAAATAATATGTCGTTGGTGTTTCTTAAAATACCATATTAAACATGTAAGAAAAATAATCAAATAATATGTCGTTGGTGTTTTGTAGTAGATTATATTGATGAAGTTTAAAAAGGGAAAATCTAAAATTTCATTAAGATTTGTTTAGTTGATTGGAATTAATAAAAGAGAAAATTGCAAAAATGGTTCCACTGATTTACTGATTTCTTTAGACATCATCCAACAAGTTTCAAAGTTGTAAGTTTGGTCCCTTTGACTTTGACCATTGTGAATTTCATCACGTTAAACTTGAAATGACTATTTTACTTCTAGATATCCCTTTACAATTTTCTTTAACTAGATAAATATATTATTATTTTTTGGAAACGCCAAATATATTATATATCATAATCCCCTACCAAGCAAGTAACTAGATAAGGGGATAAATAGTTGTGTACATAACAATTCAAAACATTACAAGCCAGTAAAATGAGAGACTAGCCACTCGTTCCACTCACAAATTACATTCTTACCCATGTGCTTGTAACATCCGGACTTTTGCCAGGTATCATGTAAATTGAATTTTGTTAAATTGTGAGGGGGACTCGGCGAGTTGGAGCTCAGACTCGCCGAGTAGAGACGCGGATTGGACGATGGATCGCGCCCGGACTCGGCGAGTCCAGGATATGGACTCGGCGAGTCTGCGCTGTGTAGTGAAACCCTAAGTTTCCGGGTTTAAGACCTATTTAAAGGGCCTTATGGCCGTCATTTGTGCTCACCCAACCCTTAGAGAGAAACCCTTGAGTGCTTGGACGATTTGAGAGAGAAAGGAGCATATCTTGACCTTGTGGGTGCCATTTAGCAAAGAAGGAGGTGATCCTAGGCAAGAGGAAGCAAAGGAGGTTGCTATTTCGTGGATTTGGAGCCTAGATCATCAATCTAGAGGTATGATTTCGGTTTATATTCTGTTTGGTGAAGTATTATGCGATTTAGGGCTTATTATGGACATTTATGGGATGATTTGATGCCCAATGGTTCCCTCCTTGTGCTGAGGTTTTGGATCTGGATCCATAGAGGTCCAGAGAGCCTCACTCATCAAGCTTTTTGTATGGCAATGGAGTTCATGACCTTGTGTTGTAGTATTTGAGTCAAAAACATCATATATGGTCATATAGAGGTTGTATGTGCATCAAGATTGTAACTTTACGTGCTAAATGAGCTTGGAAGGACTGGATCTATGGGTTAATGGACTGGATCTGACCTTATGAGCAAGTTTGAGTCATTGCATGGCACGGACTCGCCGAGTCCGAAGAACAGACTCGGCGAGTAGCATGAATGTTGCCCGACCACACAGTGAGTGGTCTTGCCGAGTTGGGAAGGGTGGACTCAGTGGGTCAGGGGGGAGTCAGAGTGGACAGGTGGACTGAGTCAAACTGGACTCGCCGAGTTGTTCTTGAGACTCGGCGAGTTGAGTCGTGGTGGCCCCACAACTCATGCCAGGTGGAACTCGTCGAGTTGGGAGAATGCTCGACGTGTCAAGGGAGGATCCCAGGGAAATTGGTGTATACGCTCAGACTCGCCGAGTCGCTATAGCGTACTCGCCGAGTCCGGTCAAAGTTGACCGTTGACCGTTGACCAGCGTTGACCTAAGTTGACTTGTTATAGTATGGTCAACCCTAGTTGGGAAAGTGTTAATTAGAGATGTATTGTGCTATAGGAGGACTATAGCTCGGCAGATCGAGTGATTAGCGATTTCAGATTTACGACTTACCGAGACACACGAGGTGAGTCTTCTCATTATACTTTACCTTGAGTAGGTAACCAGAGTTATGTGATAGAGTATTGGTATGCTATGTATGTTACGTGTTGTACTGCATTATTTCTATGTGATTTATGTGGTGCATATTTATCAGAGCTAGAACCTGAGGGTTCACAGAGTTTGGGTGCACGGACCCACAGAGTTATAGCCTCGAGTGGCTAATATGTGTTATATGTGGTATTTTGGGGAACTCACTAAGCTTGTGCTTACAGTGTTTGATGTTATTGTTTCAGGTACTAGTGACGATCGCGGGAAGGCGCCGGCTTGATCCGTACACACACACGCTCGGAGTTTGATATTATGATCTTGGGATTTTGTATTGTCTTGTTTGGATAATTAAATGGTTGTTTTTATGAATATCGATGGAATTATGTTTTATAAAAATTGAAAAATTTGTTTTGAAATTTACGGTGTTACAATTGGTATCAGAGCCTTGGTTTGAGGGATTCGGGTACACCTTTGGGGGTATTTGAACTCAAACTGAGGAATTGGAAAAGTATTTTCAAAATAAAACCAAAATTTTCTAAGAGTAAAAGATTTTCTTGAAAAGGAAACAGATTCCAGGAAGAAACGTGTGTACGATCAGTCAGCGCCCGAACGGTGAATTCCCAAAATACCTTTATATTATGTGATAATTAATATTAATATGATGTGTTTGCATGCTAGAGTAGGCTAGGTATTGCTAATAGGACTAGAGTGGCCTGATTTGTGATGCCTTAGCCTAGGGAGGGGTGAGCTGCTATGAGATGCTGAGAGTGAGTAGATAGCAGCTAGGGGTTTGTGAGAGATCTGTTAGAAAGTGATTTAAGCATAATAGAGTACTTGGGGATTGGGATCCGAAGAGGAAGATTTGGGGTGTGTACTGAGACGGTGCGGACAGTAGTATTGGGCCCGTACTACTGAAAGTACCGGTGCGGTACACGGCCCAAATAAGAATCTTGGGATACCAAGAATCAAGGAGGGGTGGATTGTCGAATGTAAGAGTGTTCGAGTGAATTCTAATTATCGCATGTTGTATTTCAGAGGTTGATCATGGTGAGGACACGTCACATGCCAGAGGATGCCGGAGCTAGTGATGAGGAGATTCGACAGATCATTCATGAGGAGGTGGCTGCGGTCATCAGAGCTGAGATACCAGAGATGTTTGGGTCTATTAAGACCGCGTTGATTGAGACATTTGACGAGCGCTATGCCGCTCTTTCTGAGGCTGCTGTCGCAGCGGCTACCGCAGCGATCGCTGCGGCGAGGCCCCAGGGAGGTGATGCGTCACTGTTTAGGGAGTTCAGCAACACCAAACCACCAGAGTTTGATGGTACGCAGGATCCGGTGGC